CTGTTGTGGCTGGCAGACTTTGGGTACTGGGGGTTTAGTCTGGGAAGATTCTTGCTTGAGGTTGTAGCTAATAAACGAAGCTGGACTGAATTTGCATGGTCTCTTGGAGTTCCTTGGGCTAGGCCTGACATTATGTGAACTCAGGCTTTAAAAATAGAGGATTCCTGTTGCTGTTTAATAGGGTGGTAACAGTTCAGAAAAGTGCAGTATTCTGCCAGTAACCATGAGAGTCATATTAACATGTGCTGAAAATGCCTCTTGTTTCTTCACTGTTTCACAAGTTATATTAGATACCTAGGCTGGTTCACGTTTCAGGTAGCATATGAACTTCTGAACACTTGGGCTTGATTATGTGCTAGATTCCTTTGTCCAGTATAGACCCATGAGAATACTAAGATATTGGATAAGGCCTTGCGGGTTGTACTGCAACCTGCAGATTGTGACCTGTTTTGGCTCTCATTCTTCCCATTCTTCTCTCCTGTGTTGATTAGGAATCAGCAACTGCTGTGTGTTTTTGAAGACTTTTTTCTTCAGATCATTCCAGCTTGAAGTAGTAGTGTTTAACTTGATTCTTTGTGGTTATGTTTGTTGGTTTACATATTTTAAATCTTGAGGGTAGTTATTATATTTTTTGTGTTTTTCCAGTTTCTTTATAGTTGACTTTTTATTGTACACCAGAGGAGGCAATCTATACATTGATCTTGTAAATGTCTTGTGATTTCTTAAAATTCTTTCTCATAATTTCAGGGCAGAAAGTGTATGTGTCACTATAATGAGGCCATTTCTAAGGTACCTGTATTGTGAACCTTACCAGTTGCGGGAACATGCAGAATTACGGATGGGCCTGCTCAGAGTCTTGTTTCAGCCATATGGGCCTTTGAACAAAGAGGAACCCCCTGCCCTTGAAAGGCATCTCCTTCAGCTGTTTTGTGACTTGATTCCATATTATCAGGTGAGGCTTCTCGGATGATAACCTCTAAGTGTACTCTGTCTGTCTGTCCGTCTATTTTCTATGTTTTCTATGTTTCTTTAACATATGTATATGGCCACCCATATACCAAACTTGGGACAGTGGATCAAAACAAAACAAAACAAAATGACAATCCATAGTATGAGAAATAGCAAATCTAAAAGCCCCTAAAAAATCTCATTAACCACAGATACATCATATCAGAGTTCTATTGGCACCCTGGCTCCAGTACCTGGGGGAAGAGCCAGGCCTTCGGAGCCTTCCTTTCCGTAGGTAAAAGATGCTCTACATGGAGAGAGTCAGGGTTGCCTATATCTCAGGGAGGAGTCTGTTTCACGAGACAGGCACCATAACAGAGAAGGTATGGTTCTGAGGACTCACCAGATGAAATTACCTTATCGATAAGACTTAGAACATGCCCACCCTGCCCAATTTGGTGGGACAGGCAGAAACCACTGGGGAGAGGCAATCCCACAAGTAACCTGGCCCATGTCATGTCGGGCTTTAAAAGTTACCATGAAGACTTGAATTGCACCCAGAGCTTACTGGAGCCAGTGCAGCTTATGAAGCAGCAGTGTTACATAGGTGTGCTATGGAGCACCCAGTACTGCCCAGCTCCTGCATTCTGGACCAGCTGAAGCTTCCAGAGGCTCTTCAGCCATGTAGAGCATGTTGCAATAGTCCAGACGGGAGATGACTAAGGCATGAGTGACCATAAGCAGTGCCTCCTGATCTAGGAATGGGTGCAGTTGGTGAACAAGATGTAGTTGGGCAAAGGCCCTCCTGGCTGTGGCTACCACCTGCTCCTTGAAGAGGAGTTGTGAGTCCAGGGGAAACCCCAGATTGCACACTAACTTTGCCTGGAAGGGCGTTACTCCATTCAGAGTCAATGATGGAAGATCACTAGAAACAAGGGACCTTAAAACCATTCCGTCTTGTTAGGATTGAGCTGAAGTTGGTTCCTCCCCATCCAGATCCACACAGACTCCAATCACTGGGAAAGCACTTTGACAACATTACTTTGGCAGCCGGGGACAGAGATTTACAAATGAGTATCATCACCACATCATCAGGAAGGTGTTTCTCGAATGCACATGGGGTGGGATCTTAGATTGCCTATCCCAGTATAGACTGACCTAAAGTGAACACAATATCTTTCTGTGTTGCTTTCTTCTATACAAATTCCTCATTTATACATATCTGTTACCCCTTGATGCTGGTCTCAGTGCTGTGCCTTTGCATGCACGACGCAGTCTTGCTTCTTTCCTTTCCACAGGTAAAAGATGCTCTACAGATCACAGAAGCACTGCTTTTTTTGGAGGAATTATTTCGGAGTCTGCTGCGCTACCCCAGTTTTTGGAAGACACAATTATGTCATCTTTGTCTGCAGCTTCTCGTTTTTTGTGAGGTTAGCCTGCAGACCACAGGGGAATGTTCATCTTTAATTGGCTTAATGGAGGAAAATGTTGAGCTTCTGAAAGAGGTAGGCTCTCTGGGTAATGAGATAATTTTTTAAGGTACATTCATAATTGAATGGTGGTTCTTAACTTTTGGCACCTAGTTATAAGACTTCTGTTAATAAGCTGGACTGGACACAGGCACCACAGGCATTCAAAGATACAAGAGCTTCTGAGAAGTAGATTTATTGTAGAAAACTAATGAAGTCATTACAGAAACTTTCCCAACATAAGCCTTATTTACAAATCAAGGTCTAAATACATCTTTTTGTGCTGCCTCTGAGAAGTAACTGGCTTGAAATAAGACTTGGGGGTAGAGGCTGGTTTTCACCTGTTCCTTGTGTTTGTAACAGACTAGTCTGGTTTCAGGCTATTTTCTTCTGCCACCTAAGGAGCCATAAATTTGTTGGGCAAAAGGACAGGCCCAACTGAATACTAAAGAACAGCAATGGGTATTAAATCTTACTAGCATTTAGAAAAAGTTTTCATGGTTATTTATTCTCTTTTTATGAAGTTTTCCATCCTATCCTCCTAATGAATATGTATTACTTAGAATGGACTTCTTAAAATGAGAAAATACCCATATTCCCCTTCATCTGGAAGTTGTTCATCTGCCTTGTTTAGATGGTTAGTTAATCTAACTCAATATTGTTTATGCTGACTCAGTTTGCATATTATGTTAAGATATGCTTTTAAAGTCATAACTTGCTGAATAGACCAGAACTGAATTCATACAACACATCAAATCATGAACCATGGGTCTCCAATCTTCTTATTCTGGTGGATGCATTTGGAATTTTAACAGTATGCCATGGATTCCAGCATAAATTATTTTCTATGGAAGGACTTATTCTTTCACAAAGAATTTGCTGTGATTAAGTGTGGTCAGACATACATTTCCAGAAAATAGATTAATAAGGCTCCTAAATAATGCTTCCTCTAGGACACTCTTCTTTTTATTTTTATTTTTTTCTGGACTGGTGGTCACACTTCAAACAAAAGATTGGACTGTAGTCATCCACCATTTTTATTTTCTAAAAATGCACGTGGGACTATTGATATTTGTGGAAAGTACTGTAAAGAGTCACTGGGAGTCGAGTGGCATATAAATTTAATAAATTATTGTTGGTCGCACAGCCAGCCAGATGTTTAGACTGGATTTGGCATTTTTGTTCACCTGTCAAGTTCTTCCCAAGGACCTGGGATAGGCAGATATTTGATGGTGTTAAAGGTATTGTCGCAGAATGTAAGCTATTCCAGGTAAAGCTGCCTTTTGCAATTGACTGATGGTGATTTTGTCAGTGCTGATGGTCTTCAAGTGCTTTGAAGTATATCAATTTCCCATTTTTTAAAACAGCTGAAAATCTTTACAAAAAGGCAGCCTTGCAGGCACAAGAAAAGTATTGTGTTAGAGATGCAAGCCACAAACCATGGCTTATAAAATATATGCTAAAACAGAACATACAAACAATTCACATTATTGGTTTAGAATAATGAGTGAAGCCAGCCATTGTATAGCTGTAGTATTTCAGATAGGAATTTTTTCCATGTCCTGTGTTGTGATGCTAGGAAATAAACTTGGGACCTTATACATATCAAGCATGTGCTTTATTATTTAGCTTATTGTCCATGCTCCTGTTGGATATATACACATTTTCAGTAATGTAGAGGACTACATGATTCAGTCAGTGCCCTACTTCCAAACAGGGTACGTTCCAAGAGGCTGTTTGTAAGTCCGTTTTGTTCATAAGTCCAAGTAAAAAGTAAAAAAAAGAGGAGGAGGCAGGGCAGCGGTGTGGGCAGAGGAGCCCTATCTTCTGCTGCCAATGCATCACCACGTGAAGCAGGAGAGGGAGTGGTAGCGGAGGAGAGGGGAGCAAAGGATGAGCAGATGGGGCGCGGCGCGCTCCATTGCCAGGTGAGACAGGAGACCTCCGCCCCTCTCCCCGATCTCTGCCACTGCCCTCTCTCCTTTTCGGGAACTCCAACTCCAATGCAAATGGAAGGTGGGAGAAGGTGGGAAAGAGTTAGTTTGTGGTGCACTGCAAACTTTCCTACTTTCTCCTGACTTCCAGTTTGGACTTCCGGTTCTGACTTCCAGTTCTGACTTCTGGGTCCATCTTGTTCGCATTGGTAAAAGTTTGCAACACAAAAGTTCGCAAGTAGGGAACTGTCTGTAGTTCATAAATCAAGGATTTGCTATTTGTAAAAGCTGTCATTTAAGGAACACTAGTCTTTTTGACAAGTGAGCCGCTTATGTGTAGGGATTACTCTAATCCCATTACAAAATGGAACAGTACAAATTAGCTATACTACTATATATATCTCTCTGTCTTTGAACATAGACCTTATGGCTTTGTTTTTCTTCTGTAATGAGGATCAAAAAAAGCTGTTATTGCAGTCCAAGACCAGAGAAGGGAAATTTTTCACATACTTATTTAAGCAATGTGTTTAAACACGGGTTAGTATTCACTAGATCTCTTGAGAAGAGTCAGAGTCAATCACCTGACATGGCTCTTTTTCATGACACTGTTGCCTACTGCTCCAAAAATGCAATCATGACATGGGAAGTAGCTACATTATACCCGGACCAAATAACGTCAGAACGAACTTAGAGTTATTTATTTTACATAGTAAGGTTGAAGAACTATGTTATCTTTGACATTTTTTTTAAAAAGCAAGAGTGTAAAATTTGCTTAGGGTGTTTATTTCCATAGGCTGTTGTATGTTATACTTGGAAGGAAAATCAAACTTGAATGTGTATCTTGGTTCTTCAGGGTTTTCCATTTCAGATGGCCATCATTGGATTAGGTGTGCTCCTGCTGCAGATTCCAGCTAGTCAGCAAAAGCCTATCTTAAACCTAGGTAAGACTTCGTTGTAAAATTGCAACAATTCCCAGACAAATTACTTGCTTTAATTAATAATAATGAGGAGGAGGAGGAGGAGGAGGAGGCATGTGCTATTCACCCAAGCCTTTGGTGAGGATGAATGAAGCCCTCTTGGATTGTGTGGGTTTGTTTCCTTTTCGTTCCTGTCTGGTTCTTGTCATCCTTGCCATTTTTTATTCTTTTATTTTTGTCTTTTATTGTATTTTTTCCCCTTGTTTTTAATGTTTTTACTTGTAAGCTGCCCAGAGCCATTGGGAGTCAGGCGGCATGCAATTTTTAATAATAACAACAGCAACAACAACTGCATGTTAATTCTACTGCTTCTCGGTTTTTATTTTGTTTGTGAATAGTCAAAATTTTATTTATTTATTTATTTATATGTCACATATAAATAATATGTGACATATAATATATTTATATAGCCGCCCATCTCACACAAAGCAACTCTGGGTGCGTACAACAATTATATATATTTCAAGAGTTCTTTTTTAGTAGTGAAAAATTATATTATCACCCTAGAATAGATTTTGGAAGACAAGTTTTTTCAAATCTGAAGCAGAATTAGATATATGACTTCTGATTTATGTTGAGGTAGCCAGTGGAAGCTAATGAGATTTATTTCTTCAAATACGTTCTTGGATTTGGGGATTTTAAAAATATATCTCTGTCTCTTTTTTACTTTTACGATATATTTTCCGCCTATTTATAAATCACATTTTTAAGCCAGCCTGGGTAGAATACAATTAAAAATTCCTCTAATATAATACAAAAACAAAAGAAGCAATAAATGGTGGACTAAGGCAATAGTAGTAAAAATTCCCCAAAGACACATACTCCTAACCCAGAGCCTGGGGAGAGAGCCAGCTCTTTAACACCTTGTCTTCTGCCTGCATGCTACAACTAGCTTGAATGAGTTTTTTCTCTTTGAAGAGAATGATTTCTACTTGTCCCTTGTTATAGTAACTGACCATTCTGGTTTCAGACTGTTTGCTTCTTACCTTTTCAGAATTAGCTCACATAATATTAAACTAAATCGGGACAATTGCAGAGTCACCCCATATCATATGCATAAATGTCACCTCCATCATTTTGTTCTTCCAACGTTGACAGTTGACAGCCAACCCTTTTAAAAAATTCTGGTGGTGTTGAATGAAGAATGGAAAAAAATGTTGAATTAGTCTCAAGTTAAATAAGAAACATGTTGGATATTTTTTAAAGCTTTAACCGGAAGCTTTACTTTAACTGCTAAAGTATCTGGAGCAAACTGTGAAAAATGTTTAAATTGTATGGATTGCCATTCTGCAGTTTTAAAGAATCCAAATTCTTTCCAAATGGTCTGGAAACTTGATAGGCAATTAATACTTGATCTGAGGTATTAATTTCTATTAGCCCATGAATTCCAAAAGAAAGGTATACCTGCAGTTTTCAAACTGGGATTGTCCCAGAATACTTATAAGGGTCAAAATTGTACTTCCATATTCCAAATATGACTTGTACCTTTAATGCTGAATTTCAGCTAAACAAAAAAGAACTACACCTCTGCCAAGATATTAAAGAAGTCATTTAATAACTTTCTAATTTCACCCATAATGACTTTTGAACTTTATTAGTTATGTTCCATAAATAAATAGATGTCAAAATGTATGCTCATTGATAAAGGTGAAAGTCAGGAAAATTAAAATGTACATCATTATTATTTAAGTAAAGAAAATATAGGAATATATCCTTCAGGGGGAGGGACACTTTCTTAATAATTTCTTGATATTTAACATGGGAATCCCTCTAAGTACATATATCAGCCTTGAAATAATGTTAATTTCTGCAACATTTATTTTTCCCCATTTGATCACTAGGATTTTTAGATACCTATTTATATCAGTATTAATCTGAGATATGCAGTCTGATATATTTATATCAACAAATGAAGACATTTTCCTTGTAATAATTAGAATAATTGTAAGACAATCAGAAACATTCAGGCACCAAGCAAAGTCCCATTTTTTGTGAATTTCCATAGATACATTAGAGCCTATAGGAGGTTTATGAGACTTACTACAATTAAAGAAGTAACCTGATAATTTTTGATACCTTATCAAAACAATTTGAAAGAACACTCAAAAAGATTAGCATACCAAGTTTATTACAGTATTAAACTAGCCTGTATATATAAAATATACATAAAGTCCACCCATAATACCAGATTGGCCTGTGGAACAGCATCTCTCTGGAAATCCAGATGACTCTGATCTTGTTTGTTTTTTCTAAGGCACTGAAGACCTGGCAGTTTCCCTAGGCATTTGGGTCAGAGAGTGAGGCAAGCTCTGTTGGTTAAAGTCATTTTTTTTTTTAATAAATTGTGATTATTGTGTTGACTTTGAATGTTGTGGTTTGGATTGTGGAAAGTCATTCCCGAGAGCTTTATTAGGCTTCAGTTGCTCAATTATTGTCTTGTCTCTCAGACCGATACAGCTGGGAGCATATGTGGTCTCCAGTGAGATGCTAGATTCTGTGTTACTTTGTGTGGCATATAATAAATGAAAGCGGGCTTCCTAGGCGATAGCTGATACATGGCATTCAAATCTTGCATCTGAGTTTTGTGACACATGGTGCCAAAATGTCAGTGAATCTTTCAATTTTGCAGCCTCAGTCAGTTGGAGCCTGGTGTTTCTGATTGTTTCCCTTTTTTAAAAAGAAGGTTAGATGCTTATATTGGCTTTTTTTTTTTTGTATTAAGGTTTAAGAGTTTATAAGACCAGTGTTACTCCTGTACAGTTTATAGCTATGGACAAGGTCTAATTTTGCCTGTGTGCACCACTTATCAAAATATGATTTAGAATTTGCTATCCTCTGTAGGGTGCCTACCTTCCCTTCCCTTCCCTTCCCTTCCCTTCCCTTCCCTTCCCTTCCCTTCCCTTCCC